AAAAAAAAAAAAAAAAACAAACTTCTATTGATGGGAAACTCATTAACATTTATTAAATTTTGTTTATTTTTCTTCTTTTTTAAAAAATTTTATTTTATTTATTTATTTTTAATAGAGATGGGGTCTCCCTATGTTGCCCATGCTGGAGTGCAGTGGCTGTTCATAGGCGTGATCCCACTACTGATCAGCACGGGAGTTTTGACCTGCTCCGGTTCTGACCTGGGCTGGTTCACCACTCCTTAGGCAACCTGATGGTCCCCCGCTCCCAGGAGGTCACCATATTGATGTTGAACTTAGTGCAGACACCCAATCTGCATAGCGCACTACAGCCCAGAACTCCTGGGCTCAAACGATCCTCCCACCTCAGCCTTCAGAGTAGCTGGGACTATAGGCATGCACCACCGCGCCCAGCTGTTTATTTTTCATTATAAAAATGATACATGCTTATTAAAATAAGATGTGAAAAAAGAGGGGAGGACCCCCATACTATCTAGAGGCTCCTATTACCTTATTATATTTCTTTTTTCCCCCGTTCTTAAAGTATGAGTATTTTTTTTCATAACTACATAATATTTCATTGAGTTGGCCAGGTGCTGTTGCTCACGCCTGTAATCCCAGCACTTTAGGAGGCCAAGGTGGGCCGATCACAAGGTCAAGAGATCGAGACCATCCTGGCCAACATGGCGAAACCCCATCTCTACTAAAAATACAAAAATTAGCTGGGCGTGGTGGCAGGCACCTGTAGTCCCAGCTACTCGGGAGCCTGAGGCAGGAGAATCTCTTGAACCTGGGAGGTAGAGGTTGCGGTGAGCGGAGATCGTGCCACTGCACTCCAGCCTGGCAACAGAGGAAGACTCTGTCTCAAAAAAAAAAAATTTCATTGAATCTGTTTCCTGTTATTAAGATTTAGGTTGTTTGTTTCACTGTCTCTGTTGTTAACCTGGTGTTGAGCACCTGACTTTTTGAGGTAGTCTTGTTTTGGATAAGAACATATTATATTTAGAAAGTTATTGTATTAACCACATATTTGGGTATCTGTAAAATGGACTATTTAATCTTGGTATGAAAACACTTGAAACTACCACAGAGGATTTTAAGAAGCATACTAGCAAAAAAATGAAGAGAGAATGGTAGAAAACCATCATTTTGGAACCACCAGTGTAATAACTGGTTCAGCAAGGACCATCAACAGAAACTAAAACCGTCAAGTAAAAGATTGTTGGTGAATAGAATACTTACATGACTTTCATGTATTGCCTCACACACTATACATATTAAGTACAAAGAGAATACAGTAATACATTGTAATGGAGAAATCTGGTAGACACCTTTCAACCAAGTGAATCAAATCTAGTGTTACCAATAATGACCCAAACCTACTATCTACTTCATTTTGCGATTCAGTGGGAAGTGCCAGCATTAACTATGTAGGACTATTGGCAAAAAACTTGAACCTGAATGGAATCATGAAGAGATATATTCAGCTTACAAGGCATTGTACAGGACAGCTGGCCTGGACTCTATAAATACAAGGTCAGTGTCCAGCTGGGCATGGTGGTATGCATCTCTACTCCCAGCTACTCAGGAGATTGAGGCGGGAAGATTGCTTGAGCCCAGGAGTTTGAGGCTGTAGAATACTTTAAAGGCACTTGTGGGCCAGGCATGGTGGCTCATGCCTGTAATCCCAGCACTTTGGGAGGCCAAGGCAGTGGATTACTTGAGGTCAGGAGTTTGAGACCAGCCTGGCCAAAATGGTGAAACCCAGCCTCTACTTAAAATACAAAAATTAGCCGAGTGTGGTGGTCTGTGCCTGTAATTCCAACTACTTGGTTGGCTGAGGCAGGAGAAATGCTTGAACCCAAGAGGCAGAGGTTACAGTGAGTCGAGATCACACCACTGCACTTCAGCCTGGGTGACACGAGCAAGAATCCATCTTAAAAAAATAAGGGCACTTGTTAATAGACACTGCATTCCAGCCCGTGTGACACAGCAAGACCCTGTCTCTAAAAAAAAAAAAAAAGATCCTTGTCACAAAAGACAAAAATAGTGGTAGAATTAGTGGAATTATCCTGGATTAAGGGAAAGTAGCATGACAATTATATTTTCTTGTTGAAATTCTGTATTTAAAATGAAAACTGTAAAGGACACTATTAAGAAATAAATGTGGATTATGTTTTTGATAATAAATTAATGTTAAATTTCTTGGTATCATAATGATATTGAGGTTAGGCAGGAGAAGGTCCTACTTCTTCAGAGCCACATGGTAAGTATTTACAGATAAAGTAGCCCCTGATTTTTATAACATTTTCAAGTGGTATGGGGGGAGAAGAAGAGCACAAGTATGTATGTTATGTGTGTGTGGAGAGAGAAAACAAAGAAATGTTAAAAATTGGTGAATCTAGGCCGGGCGTGGTGGCTCACGCCTATAATCCCAGCACTTTGGGAGGCCGAGGTAGGTGGATCATGAGGTCAAGAGATTGAGACCATCCTGCTCAACATGGTGAAACCCCGTCTCTACTAAAAAACTACAAAAAATTAGCTCGGCATGGTGGCGCGTGCCTGTAATCCCAGCTACTCGGGAGGCTGAGGCAGGAGAATTGCCTGAACCCAGGAGGCGGAGGTTGCGGTGAGCCGCGATCTCACCATTGCACTCCAGCCTGGGTAAGAAGAGTG